AATGCTCGGCGGAGGCCCGGCGCGGGCGGGCGGCCTCCTTCCCGAGGGCGCCGCGCGCGCTGCCTTCTTTTGCGCCCGGTTCGGCAGCGGTTGAATTGATTTTCCTTCCACATCGCACAGGAAAATCCAGATCCCTCCTAGGAGGCGTTCGCCCTCTTCCCGGGGGAGGCGGCGCCCCAGAGCACCCGGACGGCGGGCCGTGGAGGAGCATCTCATCTCCCCCTGGGCCGCCGCTTCTCCGTGCAAGGTGGAACCGCGGAATCCCCGACATTCCTCAAAGGTTTTGAGAGGTGACTCTTGTGACCTTGAATGATTCCCTTCCCGCTCAGCTCCTGCCCGGCTTTTCTCACCTGCCAAGGAGAGACTTAAAGAAGGTGGTGGCTGGGGCTCCGTACACCAGAGTCCAAAGTCTGGGTGCACTGGGGGGCAAGGACTGGCAGAATCTACAATTTTCTCCGGGTGCAGGGTCATGTATGGCATGATCTGATCTCCACGACCCTCTGAAGCAGACTAGGACCACCAGCATTTACAGAGACTTGGGGCACAAGTTAGGCGAGTTGCCCAAGAGCTCACAGAGGATGATGGCCAGTTAGGTTTCAGACTGGGCAGCCCTTTTTCAGAAGCCTGTGGTTTAATTATGCAGACTCAGGAAAACCGCTGTGAGGAAATAAGAATGGGGGAGGGAAAAGTCCCCAACCTAGACTTAGACACCTGCCACCGCATAGAGCTGAGCCAGGTATATTACATCTGATGTGGAAGATCATCATGCTGGCTTCACACACCTGACAGCTGACCCTTGGAAAAGTTAGGGAATTTGTCCAAGGTCACAGGGCAGGTACATGAGATGAACTACAGTGATATTCTCCTGGACACTCAGAGCTTTACAGTTTGAGACAAGACTTTGAGGAAGTCATTCTGCTCTCTTTTGCCAATAAGAATGCTGAGGCCTAAAATGGGTTGCCCAAGATCACCAGCAAAGGAGAAGTGGGCCAGGACTAACGGACTTTGCGCCTCCGAGTCCAGTGCTCCAAGCCCCATCTCAAAGAGGCCTTGAACAGAGTCAGGCACAAACTCTGCTCTTAGGCCTCTCTTCTGCAGGAAGCTAAGAGGAAGACACAGGTTATAAATGGATTCAAGCTGGAAGATGCTCAGAGCCAAAGGGAAGAGCATTTGCTAGAGGACTCCAGAGAGGTTTCCTCCATTGTCTCCCATAAACCTTCCCCTCTGCCTCTTCTGTCTGCCTCCTTAAGGTTGTCTCTGGAGAAAGAGGTACGCAGGTTCTTAACTGATAAAATGTGCCAGCGTTTAAAAGATACAAACCTGACCAATCGTCCTTTTCAGAAAAGAGATGTTCGCTGAACAAAAGTACCATTCAAAAGTGCCGAATGGCGTTTGTGTCTCAGACAGAAAGGAAGCGAAGAGAGAGAAGATGGAGGAGGAGGGCGGGGGAGCAGCAGCGAGGAGGGAGGAGAGAGGACCGGGAGCTGGAAGGGTTGTCCAGGCTCAGTACATCCAAACCAAGGCTCAGAAAAGGCAGGAACTCAACTGAGATCACACAGTGAAGCAAAACTGAACGGGGAGGAGAAACCCAGACTTCTTACCTACCTCCTTGAGCTTGAATTATTTGAGTTTCTGAGGCATAAGGCTAAAATTCTGTCAGTAGAAAATCTGGTTGTTACTTTTTTTTCCCTTCAATCCTAGCCTATCATTGGGTTTCATATTAATTATTAATTAATTATTACTAATTATATATAATATTGCTATGTTACAAAGCAAAATAAATAGAATAACTATTTTTTTAGAAAAAGAGAGAGAAAATGAAAAAGCTGAGGATTTAGAAGTTTCTTGACTAGGTCGTCTTGAAGAATCTTTATTCAGTATAAAAATACTTTACTCTGATAATAGAAAAAATACTAGTTGATATTTCCAAAACTTGCTGTGCTGGTCAAAATATCATAGGTAATACTTTTTAGTTATCAGAAAAAGTAGAAATTATTATCCTTTTTTGACAGATAAGGAAAACAAAGGTCATAGAAGTTAAGGCACTTCACTGCCATAGTGCACACAGCTCCTAAGAGGACCAGCTGGGCTTGAACACCTGCTGCCCACTGTGCCTACCAGGCTATCATCAGCTTGAGGGTGTGGCAGGAGAGTGTACACAGCAGCATTGAGGGAACTTCAGAAATGGGCTACCTGAATAATAAAACAGGCCCGAGCCAAGTCCTCCTGGGTTCAACCGTTCAATGCAGAACCGAAAAAAGTGGAATTGAAGGCACATGCTAGAGAGAGCTTAGGACACTCCCAGGGACACTCAGCAACACAGCAGCACAATCCTGTGTGACACTCTTGTGAAAGGCAGACCAGAATGGCAGGTAAGGATACTCTGGAGCCAACTATCCAGGTACCAATCCCAACACTGACACTGCTGAGCTGGGTGACCTTAGGCAATTTCCTTGATCTCTGTGAATCTCTACAAAATGGGGATAATAGAGTATCCACTTGGTACAGTGGTTGTATTAACTGTGTTAATAATTTAAATACATACACTCAACACTCAATAAGTGCTAGTCATTATAGTTGTATTGCACTTCCTTTTCGGGGCCATGATTACACACACATGGAGCATATGCTTAAGTAAGGCAGGCCAGAAGAGGACCACAGGTGCCACATTTTTACCTGTGCACATTCATATGTCTGTATGTGCATGTACATACATGTGTGTATTAGACCTGATAGAACTCCCTCCCTCTAAAATGAACATCACAAGGTCCTTCTTATGAGATCTGATAGCAATGACTGGAAGATGGAGGATTTGGGGTCAGGCAGGAGAGGGAGCACATTTGCGGTGTAGGACTCTGGGTACTGCTCTGTAGGCTGCACCCACTAACCAGATGTGTACAAAGTCCATCCCCCCCCCCCCCCCCCACACATTCAGTACATATTTTATGACTTGCCTCAGGCCCTCATTTGGGTATTAAGGTGACAAGGGTTTCATATACACTTCAGGAGAAATAGAAGAGTGACCAGTGTTTTGATTAGCAGGTCCCATGTGACTGGGACAGGGATGGCAGGGGAGCTAACATGCTCTCCCCAGTGAGGGCTAACAGATGGGGGACGGCACCTACCAATGGTTAGGAGGGCACTTCAGGAAGCCTTTACTTTGGAAATGACATTTAAGCTAGATCCTGAGGTTCTGGAATGTCTTCTGGGTACATGGGGAGCAGGGCATGAGGAGGACAGTTTTCCAGGCTACACAAACAGCATTGTAATAAAAGGCAACCCTTAAAAAAAAAAAAAAAAAAAGGTAACTTTTTCTGGGCTCTTCTCACACCTCGGGGACTTTCTGAGTACTTTATGTACACGACTTCATTGAATTTCATTAACAATTCAATCACAGGCATAATTGGTGCCTTTTTATATATATGGAGAAACTGAGGATCAGAGGTGAAAATAACTTGCCCAGAGTGACGAATGGTGGAATCAACTAGAACTCTGGTTGTCTGACTCTACAACCCACATATGTAACTCATGGGATGGAAGCAGGATGGAGCATGTGGTGCTGAAGGAAAGAAGTTCAGCTTGATAGGAGTGAGCATGAAAAGAAGAGAGTGGAGAAGGTGGGTCTCAGGGGACCCGCAGATGCCTGATCACAGAAGGCCTGTTAAAAAGATGGCTTCTGAGAACACTGGGCAGATACGAAGGGCTAAAATTTTTCAGGCAAGTCATTGATCTGAACCTTATTCCGTCTGCTGGTGCACAACTATAATCCAAGCTACTAGGGAGGCTGGGACAAGAGAATTGAAAGTTCAGGGCCATTTTAGGCAACTTAGTGCAATCCTGTCTAAAAAAAAGAAAAAAAAATTAAAGGACTGGGGATGTAGCTCAGTGATAGAATGCCCCTGAGTGCAATCCCCAGTACTGGACGCCCTGGACATATTCCAGGAGAGCCACTGAGGCCACTGTACGTACACGTGGAGGACAGACTCAAGCAGACACCTGCCAGAAGGCTTTTTTTCTGTGGTCACAGGCAGAGGCACAAACTTTCTAAATGGTGAGGATGGTGGAACCCCTGCCTCTGACTTCCTTAAATTACAGGGGAAATAACTACTCCTTCCCCTCCTACGGCACCAAAAAAAAACACTTCAATTTTGATTTTATATAAAATTCTGAGAAGGAGATACTATTAAAATCCACACAGGTGGGAAATGACCTGCCCAAGGTCACACAGCTAAAAAGAAAGATCCAGACTCTAACTCCAACTCCAGGACCCTCTCTGGTACACCACAGAATGTCAGAGCCCAAGAGACCCTAACAAATCATTTCTTCAAATCTCCATGATTAAGCGTGAAGAAAATAAGGCCCGGAGAGAAGTGACTTGCCCAAGGTCACACCTTTTAGGAAATAAAGGCTTACAGTAGAACCAAGGACTCCCAGAAGTTCTTGTTAGGACATGGGGGCCATGGAGGTAAAGAACCAGATTAATCCCCAACAGTGATGGTCCAGCCTCCCCCTCCCCAACTGAATGCTGGCAGAGAAGTGAGACTCAGGCAAATGGTCAGCCTGCCTGGGCATCCTGGCTCCAGCTCTGTTAAAGAATTCAGACCTCCCAAATGGCCAGTTCACACTGCCCTCTTACCCCTCTTGTCCCTAACCCTGGGCAGCAACTAAGCTGTCCTGGGTCAATGGTGCCACCTGGTGGCAGGTTCTGGGAAGTACCTTACCCCTGCCTTGCTTTTAATCCTTTCTCATCCCTCCAAGGGCCCGCCTTTCTCTTTGTCTGCTCACAGCTCAGCTGGTTTCACTGCCAGCACTCTTCTAACACACACCATCCCCTTTATCTTTCTTATATCCTTCTCCCTCTTAATTCTTCTCAACTACATCAGGACATTCCCTTTTTCTCCCTCTCCCCCATTTTATTCCATCCATGATAAAATGACCCAAGAAAGGACTAACGTAAATGAAAACTGGAAATTTCAAAGTGAATTCAGACACATGCTCACGCACACACATAGCCTACACACACATGCATGAGTCACCAACCACCAGTGTTCCAGAAATACCCAGAAGCCCCGTGCAATCAAACAGAATCTTCCCTTCTTGTCTGCCCTTCAGACCTGCTTGTCCTCAAAGGCCAGGCATGGAGATAAATACCAAATCCACTTCCTTATTTTTGTTTTTTCTTATTTTATTCACAATGAATATCATTGCTGTCCCTCTGCCACACCTGTGCCACTGAAAATATGCCCGGGTGGGGTCTGCAGGTGAATGCAGAGCTGAGAAGGGTAGGGAGATGAGGTTGGGTTCAAAAGTGCCCAGTGCCCAGCTCTGAGGGAGCACTAGATAGCTGCTGTTGACACAGAAGAAAGCATGCTGGGGGGAGATCAGACCTGGCATTCTGCAAGGACCCTCAGCAGTTGTGCCTTCCTGTAGGAGCTCAACCCGAGACAAGAGCAAGACACATCACATATCCCACTCTGCTAGAAGGGGTTTTCCAAAGCCCAATGTGTCTTTCCACTCCCTCCCCAAATCAAAGATCTGCCATGGTTCCCACTGCCTCAGGAGCTCAGAATGGGAGGAGTAGATGGCACCTTTCTTATCATGGAAACCACTTAACTGCTCTCCCTATCTGTACAGTGATGACCAGCAAGTTCAGAGTTTGCAGCACCTTGGAGCAGAAGTTCTCAAAGTGTATCCAGGGACCCTCAGGGGGTTGCCAAGACCCTTCAGGAGGGTTGTGAGGTCAGATCTTTTCATCATAATGCCATAATGTTATCTGCCTTCATTCTAGCTATTTCACAAGTCCAAAGTGGTGTTGTCCTGAGTCTAAGATGTGTAGCATTGTGACAAGAGAAATAAAAGCAGCTTGAGAGGCTGGGGTTATGGCTCAGTGGTAGAGCACTTGCCTAGCATGTGTGAGGTACTGAGTTTGATTCTCAGTACCACCTAAAAATAAAAGGTCTGTCAACAACTATATATATATACATATATATATATATATGTATATATATATATATATATATATACATATATATATATATATATGTATATATATATATATATATATACATATATATATATATATATGTATATATATATAGTTGTTGACAGACCTTTTATTATATATATATATATATATATATACAGCTTGAGAATCCTGCTGCCTTCTGTTAAGCCAGACAGCAAAGAGATCTGCACACTTATAAACCTTCATGACTCTTACTAAATATTTGGTTGAAAAAGTTCTTATTTCAAGAATACTATTTATGCTACTTGTACTAATAGATACTTGTTTTAATAAATTAATAAGTAAATATTTCAAAATGGTATCCATTTTAATGAACCCACATACACTATAGCTTCTTGGGTTCAGTCCTCAATTTTTAAAAGTTTAAAGATGTCCCAAGACCAAAAGTTAGAGAATTGCCGGTCCCATGCCCCCAGGGCTGTCCAGAACACCCATGCCAGTTGGGCTGGGTGGGGGAGGGGCCAGGGCAAAGCAGGTGTGTAAACAGGGGTGGGGGGCAGGGGGTTCAGCGGCCTTGGCTCTCACGGCAGACTCTCACTCACTGAATCAAAGTGAAACTCAGGGACCCAGGAGCTAGGAGGAACTGAAACCTGTCCCTCACCCATAGGACAGGCCCTAGAGTACTAGGGAAAGGCCCACAGAGCCCCTCAGTTAACCCCCTAAACTCTTCCTTCATCCAGGAGGCCTCTGGCACTTGTTTACCTAGATCCCAGCTGAGGTACTCATAGCTCAAGACAAGACAAGGGAAAATGGCTGGCTAGGCTGGGGGTCCTTTGCATCCTTGCCACTAACTGCTACCTACATGCCCTTAGGTGAAGCCCAAGCCCTCTACCCCTGAACTATCCTCTCTAGAGAGTATGAAGCTATTAATCTCAGCCCCACTGTTCTTGGCTCTGCCTAAGTGGCTGTTTTCCTTACCCACCTACCTTGAGCCTTGGAGCCCATCTGCCCAATTTGCTGACTACACAAATGCATGCGAACACCAGGCCAGTCATGGGCTTCAGCTGCCATAGACTGGATGGAAACTTTTTTTTTTTTTTTTGGTACTAGGGATTGAATCCAGGGGCGCTTAACCATTGAACCACATCCCTGGCCTTTATTTTTTTTTTTTTAAATTCATGCTGAGACAGGGTCTCACTAAGTTGCTGAGGCTGGCTTTGAACTTGCCATCCTCCTGCCTCAGCCTCCTGAGCTGCTGGGATTAGAGGCATGTCCCACAGCACCAGGCTTGGAAACCTTTTCTTCAGGGTCTGTGCTAGGATTCCAGAATCTCAACGGCCTTCCAGCACAGAGAAGCAACACAAGTGCTATGAGCAGGTGGCATGGAGCAGTCTGAGGGCTGCAGGCCCACCAGCCCCAGAGGGCAGTTGCCACCCAGTGGAGCCAGATTGATCTCCCTACCAACGGTCAACATGCACACATGAAAGCTCCTGATTTTGAAGTGTAGGTGACAAATTCAAAAGTGTAAATCCAGAGCAAGCCAACTAAAGTCTAACAACCAGCCTGGCCATTGCCACCTGATTCTGAGCAATACCCTCTTAGCAAAGACCTTGGTCCAGGCCCCCAGACTTGACAGGGAACTTGGGGAAAGGTCCCCCCACACGAGGGTACATCCAGGAGACTCTTCATACAGGACTAGAGTGGGGACCTACCCTAGGAAGCCCCAACAGAGACTAAGACAAAACGGTGATAACCTCTTTCCTACCCCCAAAAGCCACTGTGAAAAAGGGGATACCCCTGTGTCTGCCGAACTTGCTGGCTTGATGAATGAGTGGGCCTAGAAGGGTGTGAAGGACTGAAGGCCAGACCCTGACCATCTCTCCAGGGGAGTGGACAACCAACAGCCCACCCTCAAGGAGGGCATTCCAGATGGAGGGTCCTGCATGGGCAATGCCACCAAGAACACACAGGGAATGCATGCACAGAGGGATGAGAGGAGGAATGGGAGGCCACAGTGGCAAGGTCAGGGCTCATGGCCAAGAGCCCTGGAATCAGTGGGCCAGGCCCCCTGCCACCCACCCAAGGTGATACACTCATGGGGAGGGGCACGGTGGCTTTCAAAAGTGGGGATGGCAGATGGCAAAAGGAACAGACAAAAGGAAGGAAGAAGAGAGCTGAGGTTTGTCACATTGAAAGGCGGAAAATACCAAGGAGTCTCTGAGGAGGAGATTCTCCCTCTGGGTTTTCTTGGCCTTACTGTCTGATCCGGGAGACCCTCCTCCTTCCCAGTGTATTTTCCCATCTGAATAATAACTGGAGGAAGATGTCCTACACGCAGAGATCCCAAGAACTGCCCAGATGCCCAACCTGCCTAGGCCCAGTGGCCCTCCTTCCCCCTGCACCCTGGAGCCCTCCACCATTTTGTGCATCCAGTGCCTCTTTTCATGTAAAACAGAGGCTTGGCCCTTTTATTCCTCTGGAAGGGGGCTGGAAGACTAGGAAGCCTGAAGCAAAAGGAAGAAAAGGAAAGTGATGGGGCCCTTGGTTTTGTAGCTGACACCTGGGGGCACTGTTGCTCAGCCTAGATGTCCCCGGGTCTCCCCAGCTTCTCCACACCCAGTTCCTTCAGTGCCCAGGTCCAGACTGTTATAAACAGGAAGTTGGTGGCGGGCAAATCAGTTAGTTTCAGCTGCCAAACAGAATTGTGGCCAGAGCCTGCTATCCTCAGCCAAATATGCCCTCCCATCTTCAAGCCCCCAGTAGCCATTTATTAAGCCCTTATCGCCACCAGGCCCTGAATTAAACCCTCTGTGGCAGCCACTTGCTTTTATCCTCAAGATAATCCCCAAGGCTTGTGTCACCTCTCTCTTCCAGATGCCAAAATGGAACTCTGAGAGATGACCTCACCTACCACAGGAAGTCCTCAGGCCATTCCATCCCTGAGCCTGTGTCCTCATCTCAACATCTTTTGGGTGACTCTCTGAAGAGGACAGAGGTGTGGAATCTTGGGGACACAAAAGCTGCTTGTAACTCCTGTCTCCAGAATCCAGAGCTTTGCTGCACACCCGTTCCCTCTGTGAAATCTGAGAAGGGTTTGGCCACTATCAACTCTAGTCTTCCGCCCCTCCCCGACTCTCACCCCCAGTACAGAGGAAGCCAACGAGGTCTGTATGTCCAGGAGAGGGAAAGGGTCTTAGGAATGAGAAAAGACAAGTGCCTGCCCATGGTCAGACTGAGCACCCCAAACACTGTCCCTCCCCACGATGGCTCCCTTGGAGGTCTGCTGGGCAGGGCTAAGCTGGGGTCCCCCAGCCTGAAAGACAGACAGAGAGAAGGGAGTTGGAAAGAAAGAGACAAAACAAGAGGAAATATGAAGAGAGAGAAAAAGAGAGAAGAGGAGGAATGTGCACATGGCGGGGGTGAGGGTGTGGTTGGTGGGGTTCAATAAACAGAATACAGTCAGATCACAGAATGAGATGTACCCCAACAAAAGACACGGGAGAAACACAAGAACAGAGGAGACAGGTAGCCCGAGAAAGAGGGACGCAGAAAGGACTGACGGGAGCCCCCAGCCAAATGCCCCCAAACTTCCCCCATGGTGATCTCATTGGACTTGGCTTCTTTCTAGAGAATTGGTTACTTCTGAGTTCTGGCTGCCCTTCTGTGCCCTCCTGAGACAGAGGGCAGTCTCTGTCCAGAAGGCTGGAAATCCCACTTGCAACATACCCCTACCGCCCCACAGAAGCTTCTGGCCCCCACAATCCACGCTGGTGCTGGATGGGTCAGCTCTCTGAGCTGGTGAAAGGGATTCTCACTCCACTGACCTTGGTGTGTTCAGAGCCTTTCAAGTTCTGGGGGAGGAGGAGAAAGGAGGTCCAGAGGACCTGAATGGGGGCCCTGAGACAGGCGGAAGGAGGCCTCATCAGAGATCAAAGGCCCAGGAAGCAGCAGAGGGTCTAAGGCTGCCCTTTCACCCATGGCCGCTATTCACAGGCCTGCCTGCTCTGCCAAGCCCAGCCCCACTACCACTTCTCTGGCCTTCCGGAGAGGGAGGGACCTCCTCCTCCGGCCTAAGCCCCAGCCAGGCGGGATTCCTGAGGCCAGTGCCCCCACTGCCTCCGTGAAAGCTCTCAGCTCAGACCAACCAAGAGATGAGGACGCCCCCCTCCCCTGGGTGGAACACCAGGCTGACCCTCAGCACTTCCTGCAAGCCTCCTGAGCATCTCTGTGAGCCAGGCCTATCCTGGGGACTGGGGTGGGCACAGAAATGTGTGACATGGGCCCCTGCTGAGTCACAGCCACAGGCACAGAAGACTCAAAGCCAGAGACAGAAGGGAAACAAATGGGAAAAACCACTCAGACACAAGCACAGTTGACAGAAGCAGGCTGTCGCAGGCCCCCAAAGTCACAGCGTCCAAACCAAGAGGCCTTCTTTGACTCTTTTGCCTCTCATGTGGTCAGCCCCTGCTCATACACCCAGTGACAGGGAACTCACCACCTTTTCACGATAACACTCCCAACCTTGGCTCAGCCTGGCTGTGGTCCAAAAGCTCTAAGTGTCTCTCAGCCGTCTTCTACCTCCCTTAGTTTCCTCTAACCATCCCGCTCTGCCTTCAGAGGTCACAGGGACCTAATAGTATGTTTCCTCAGTCATGGAACAATTTGTGTGAGACAGATACTGGGCCACATCCCCAACTCTGGTCTTGGACGCATCCTGGGAAAAAAACCTAGAACTTCTAGTCTGAACTGACCCCTGTCAATCTGCTAACCTAATGACGTTCTAACTTGTTTTCACTACAGAACTCTTCACTCAAGCAGGGCTCTCTGTGGATTCCCCATGATTGAGGAGGCTGGAGCTCCCATTCACCCTCTTCGCTAATTCTGAGCCCTCTAAAGGCATGTGACTACTCCATTCCACCAAGGAGCATTTACTGAGTACCTATTATGTGTTCAGTGTTGTCCAGTACAGTAGCCATTAGCTATTTGAGCACTTGAAATGTGTCCAGTACAACTGAGGGACTAAATTCTTTCATATTATTTAATTTTAATTACTTTCCATTTTAAAACAGAAGCCATGTAAAATATTTTCCCCACTAAACACAACTTTAGTGTTTTGATAGGACTTACTATATTTAACTTTCACTGTCAAGTGTTTAGCATCTAAATCGTAATGTGTTTTAAGTGTAAAATACATACCCTATTTCAAAGACCTAGCACAAAATAAAAGGGAAACCCTGTCGTATTATTTTTAATCTCATTACAAGTTAAAATGATAATATTTGGGATATATTGGACTAGATAAAATACATTATTAAAATTAATTCCACTCATTTGTTTTTACTGTTTTTATGTGGTCCCTAGATATTTTTAAATTACATGTATGACTTGCTCTCTATTTCTAGTAGTTGATGCTGAGCTAATCACTTTCATATCTACCCTGATATCCAAAACATCCAGCACAGTGCATGTTCCTTGAGTCTCTAAACCATCAAAACAATCTCTCCACTGCTTCCAGACTAAAAGTTCAGGGACTGAAGTCATACCAGAGCCCCAGGCTCTCTTGCCCCCTCCCTCCCTTTCCAAGTCCTGCCCCATCTTGGCACAGATTGGAATACTCTCTCCTCCCTCTACCCAGCCCTCTGATGACACCTCCTAAGAGGAGTCTTTCTAGATCCTTGTGATCAAAATTAGCCCCTCTCTGCCTTGCTCTGCCTCTCTGGTGTCACCTCACACACATTAGAGAGAATTTGGATTTTCAGTCATGACTGCCAGCTCACCTTCTGTGGTTGAACCCTATTCCCTCCCACCCCAACCCTGAGATCTGGGCAGGATCACAGCCCCAGGATATGACCACAGAGTAAAACCCAAATCTGGTTGGAGGTGACTATACACCACGGGCTGAGTGACTCCACCTTGCAAAGCCTCAGTCATCTCAGTCTGAGAAATGGGGAAGCACTCTGCTATCTTCCTCCTGGCTCTCTACTGCCTCTCTGTCTCCCCTAACACTCTTCTCTCAAGCTGCTGAGGGCTCCTGAGAAAACATGGACCCATCCTGGAAGCCAGTACTCACAAAGTCATGGCCTGCACCCTACCTAGGAGAGCACCTGGGGTGCCTGGCTACTTCCCTGTTTCCCCAGTGGCTGGTTCTTACTTTCTCTGCTCTCTTCAAACTCCCCACCTCTGGGTCTCACCTTGCTACACTCTTGGTAGCATCCAACCTGCCAATGGTATCCTTTTGTCTTTTTTTTTTTTTTTTTTTGGTACTGGGGATTAAATCCAAGGGTGCTCTACCATCAACATCCCCAGCATTTTTTTTTTTTTTTTTTTGAGACAGAGTCTCTAAGTTGTCCAGGCTGGCCTAACACTTGCAATTCTCTGCCTCAGCCTCCTGAGGAGCTAGGATTACAGGCTGCACCACTGCACCTAGCCACCCACTTCTGCTTTAACTCTTCCCCCTTACACCATTCCTAGGCTCTGCCTGGCCCAGGCCAAGGAACAACGTTTTGCCAGACAATTCCAGAGGATGTCTACAGCTCCGAGGCTCCACCCAACTCCCCGGTCCACACCAGCTATGTGGCTTTGACACTGTGAGGGAGCTCCCTGGGGCCCTAGTTACCTCTTACAATAAAATGGGGGATTTTTGCCTTTTCATCCTCCCATGGAACCTATGCAGGGATCCCGGGAGGTACAAGGGAAAGATGGGAAAGGACAGGGGGAGATCCCTGCAGCACTCCCCCCAGACACTTTCCTGGTGTGAAGCAGAGCATTTCTGCCCACCTCTCTGCTCAACCATCTACCTCCTCAGTGAGGCACAGCAAGAGTGAGGGGTAGGTTTTGGTTACTGCTTGGGTTCCTCACTTTTCCCAATTCTCTAAACTTCCAGGACCCTCAAATTATTCTCTCTTAGCTCATAGACCACAGGCTGGCCTTCCTCCAAAATCTTCCTGGGGATCAGGACTCTACGATAAATTTCAGAACTTAAGGACTACAAAGACAATCTTGAATCTGATTCTTGATATTCTTGAATAGCAGCCAGCAAGGACCACTAAGTCTGCTTGCATACGGAGTACGCACTAGCTCCCTGTTATTCCCTGTAATCCCTAGACCGCTTTTATATGTACAAAGTGCTTTCTTACACTGAGCTGGAATTGCCTCTGCATCTGCCACACACTGGCCTGTGAGGCCACAAAACAAAGTCTCTTTCCTCTCTCTTTCCACATCAGCCCTTTAAATGTTTCAAGGCAATAATCCAGTCCTGCTTGTTCTGTTCTTTTTTGTGCCAAACATCTCTAGGGCCTTGAAGTATTCCTTGGGTGCCATACCCAGATCCCTCTCCACCCAGGCTACGCTCATCTGTCATTGCCCCTCTAAAGATCAATGTCGCAAATGGGCCACAGTCCTCAGAGAATGATCTGACCAGTATAGAGTAGTCGAGACTAATACTACCCACTTTCTGACCACTCTACACTATTTTAAGCAGCTTGAGAGACCAAACAGAGACCTGATTAGAGACCGTTAGCCAACATAATTCTCAAACTCGGTAAAGCAATCTCCCCAAATCAGGACCTGTCTGTTAGTAAACTGGAATTTTTTCCTTCTCCTAAAATCTCTGCCTGGACCCCCAACTTCAAGGAAGTCTCCTACCCTCCAACCCTTTACCATGATCAAACACAGCCAGGCCCCAGCTGCTGCGAGTCTGGGTGACAGTGGAAGAAAAGATGATACCATCAACCCCATAAACCAACAGAGATGGCAGCCCCACTGCCTCCCGCAGCAGCCAGCACAGCAACCCGCCGAGTTAAAGACTTCTGACATCTGCTTGGGAGTGTCTGGAGCAGGAGAAAGAGGTGAGGCAGGTACCACAGGCCATGAATCATCCCCACATGCCCCACAGCTGCAGACAGAGGCCACAGGCCCGGCTCTACACTGCCTGGGGCACACAGACCACAAGCCAATCCACCGCTGGGCTGACTCAATTTTCTAGTTACAGATCTTAAGTACTTAGGCATGTGCTCCCGAGAACATACATCCCTTACATGGCGCTGAGAAAGGGAATTGTGTGGAGGAACAGAATAATTGAATCAAGATTTCTGTCACGCTGCTCTCAGGCCCTAGACCACAGCCTTTTTTTTTTTTCTTTCCTGACTAAGGTTTTACAAATTCCCAGGGGGTCGTTTCAAACCGATTAATGTCAGCCAGTGCTGGCAGCCCATCCAGTGGAAGGAGATGAGGGTTAAGGTGGGCCCGTGTCCAGCACGGAGACGGCCGGTTCCAGAGGCCCAAGAACACTGAGGGTTTGAGGAAAAACCAACAGGGAAGATTGTCATCTTTGTAATCCCTGTGAGACCCCTGCACTCCTTCCTTCCAGGCCCAAGGGCAAAGACGACATAGTTATTTATTCCCTCCACACCCCACCTTCACCAGGCTGAAGGCCTTCTCCTCTGAAAAGTGTGCCCAGTCCCTCAGAGGACCTACCCCTGCCCCCTCCACCCCTAGTCCCCTTCTCACTGTAAGACAGAGTGGTGGCTGCTTTGCCCAGCTCCCTGCTCTCTCCAAGGCTCCCACACACAGGGGTCATTGATATTAAGCTCAGACCCTCCACACACAGGGTCCCTCAGGTATCATGTCTGCACAGGCAGGGTCTTCCTAAAGGCCACAAAGCTCAGGCCACCAGGGCTCTATCAGGCCCATTTACTCCACCCAAGGCGTGAAGATGGGAAGAGATCAGCAAGGAACCCACAGTTCCTGCAGGGTGCCTGTCTGCCCCTCCCTGTCCCTGCAGTAAGGACAGGGCTCTAGGAACTACAGCCCTCTGCAGTTAAGGGGGTGCTGAGCAGGCACCTTTGCTCCCACCCTCACTGAGCACACCAAGCAGACCCCTCCACCCCTCCCCGACAGGGCTGTGCTGCTGCCTCTTACCTTCATCTCTCTTGCGCTTGTTGGTGTCAGCGCTGGGGGACGTGATGCCCAGGATGCCACTGATGGAGTACGACGAGCCGGCTGAGTCCGTGCTCACCGAGGACACTTGTGTCACAGAGCCCGTGGACACTGCACAGAGGAAGAGGAGTAATCAGGGCCAGCAGAAGGCTGAGGGGCAGAGGGCACCAGTGCTGGCCTGTCACAAAGGCACTCACTAGGCTGGGTGCAACGGCAGGGGAGCAAGAGTTTTAGGCAGAGGACACTCGCCCCGTGGTACCACCATACAGGCTTTGGCTGTTTTGCCCAGGTTCTCTGCTGCTGGGGAGCTGAGGGGGTATATGGGCAGCAAAGAGGACTGTCCATACAAAAAAGAACAAAGGGACAGAGTAGAAAGGGAAATTTAAGGATGGAGAAGAGAAAGAGGGCAGGTGGGGCCCACCATAGGCAGTGCTAAAAAAAGACCTCAAGCTAGTCCTCTTGGGTGTGTTAACTCCCCGCTCACATAGCCACCCATGCACGGTGACATAAACACACACACATACACAGCCAACTGAACAGCAGGCCTCTAGGTCTTTTTATAGTTCCCTGCGGCATTTCCTTCTTCCAGTTTACCTAGATCTTATTTTTAACATTAATTATGACAATAACAGTCACTTATGTCTTCTGAGAACTGAAGGCATTATCACATTTAATTTGGAGAACAATCTTATAAGCTAAGTGATGTTATTTACCCTATTGGAAAGGTAAGGCAACCAAGACTCAGAGAAGACAAGTGACACATGCAAAGTCACACAGAATACAAGAGCCAGAGTGTCGACGGGAACCTGGAGACTAAAGTCTTAACTCCTGTAACTAATCTGCTCCTCAGTCATTTTTTTTTAAGAGAGAGAGAGAATTTTAATATTTATTTTTTAGTTTTTTGGCGGACACAACATCTTTGTTTGTATGTGGTGCTGAGGATCGAACCCGGGCCACACGCATGCCAGGCGAGCGCGCTACCGCTTGAGCCACATCCCCAGCCCCTGCTCCTCAGTCATTAATAATGAAGAACCAACAATATGCCTCTCATTGATGCAACACTTTTCATTTGATGACTGTGACAGCCCTGTTTATCCCAATTTATCCAATGAGGACACCAAGGCTCCACAAAGTGAAGGGATTCAAAGTCCTCTAGCTAATAAGCTGCAGCCCCTGGCCCCATCATAGCCTCAGGTCTATTCATTTAGAGTCTAGATTTCTCCTGCCCAGAAGCAGGAGGCAGAGGTCTGTCATTTGTGGCTGAGACCAGGTCTCAAAGACCCAAAGGATGAGAATGAGGGGAGAGGAGACTTCTGTGCAAATTTCTCATGGACTCCAGGCCCTCCCAGAGCCCAGGGAGAGACCTGTCCTCCCGTGGGCCCTCTGCCACTCCACAGCTGAGTTTCCATTTCCGCCTGGCTCCCTACAATCTACAGACCAACCTCAGGCATTTCGTTGGGCTATAACCAGCTGGAGGAAGGAGGAGCTGCCTCTGGCTCTGAAGTGTAGAAAATGACCAGAAGTAGTGGTGACCCCACAAAGAGCCGTCCCTTTCCTTGGAGGGGCTCCAGCTCCTTGCTCCTACAAACCCAGAGGGACAGTGCCTTTCTTCCCATGTTTGCGTTTGATTTTAGATCTTCCTTAAGAGACCCAGAAGTAGAAATTGTTAACTTCTCTTTTCCTTCACCAAAAAAACTCCTCAAAACAGGTTTATGCAAATCTCACAACCTTTTCTGTATTAAGGTGCAAAGAACAGAGAAGGAAAGAGGATCACAGGTCACTTGATACTTATAAGCCACTCTCACTAGGTGACAGAGTAGACATTTGATTCAGGATTTTGTGACTGCAGGAGGTGTAAAAGATCCAGATTCCAAACAATTACAAACTGTTATGAAATTATTAAAGAGGTGACTATGGAAAAAAAAAAAAAGATCCAGATTCTAGTTCTGCCTCCACCCCTTCCTGGCAACAAGATCTCTGGCTAATTATTCAATCTCTCTAAGCTTCGGTTTCCTCCCTGCTCAGTAACTTTCTAAACCATAAAGGGCTGTATGCACATGAGATGCAGTTTTATAAAAATGTCTGGGATAAACCATTCTGCTGACCTACAGCAAAATTATTCCTCTAAACCTATTGAAGGAATATTATCAGTTACAACTTGTTTGATTTGCATTGCTTCGCAACCTGAAACGGTTAAAGCCACAAGTGAAACCTTTTCTTGTTTTTTGATTTTTGTGGTACTGAGGATTGAACCCAGGGATGCTTAATCACTGAACCACATCCCCAGCCTTTTTAAAAATATTTTATCTAGAGACAAGGTCTCTCTGAGTTGCTTTGGGACTCTCTAAGTTGCTGAGGCTGACTTTGAACTCATGATCCTCCTGCCTCAGCCTCCCGAGCCAGTGGGATTATAGGCATATGCCATCACCCCCAGCCACAAGTGAAATCTTAGCCACCAACATCCCTCTACCCCAGAAGCCGCCCTCAACCCTCTCAGAACAGCACAGCAGAGTTGGCAGTTCCCTGCTCTCCTGACACCCATACCTTTTTATTGGGCTTCATCTCAGTGTTTTGCAAACTTCTCTCCATTACATTCTCCCATTGAGAAGTCCTCAAAAATAGGGGGTTTTATCCTGCCTCAAGTGTAGCATTAATGGTGAAAAACACTTTCTGGAGGTATTTCTAAGAGAAGAATTATCTCAAGGCAGGGAGGAATTCTTTCTTACCTTTATCCAAAGAGACAACCTAGGAGGATCAGAGACCTTGGAGAACACCTGGTTTATGTCCTCCAGTGAGGAAACTGAGGTTCAGCGAGGTGAAGGGACTTTCACAGCTCACTGGGTGAGTTAATGACAGAATTGGAACTATAAGCCAGGACTCTGGTTCCCCATCGCCACGGGGAAGTCCAGATTTTCAGGTAAAGAAGGACTGACAGTGATGAGGGCATAGAAAGGTTGCTCAGTTTGGATGTGACTTTGCAGAACTCACAGGGACTGTGAACTCTCAGGGCTTGCTGGATGGTCACCAACTTTCCTCCAGCTAGAGAGAGGTGTTTCTTTTGTCCCAAGTGGAGAAATAATACTTTAAAGGGACAAGTCATTTTCAACTTGTCCGTGAATCAAAAGCCAGGGAATGTGTGAACTCTTGAGTAGTAGGAATAGAACTCTGCCCTCAGAAGGTCATGGTCACTCTCAGACTTCGCCCGTGAGCACCCAAAGCCCCACCCACAGGCCTGGAGAGTTCACAGAGTACATGAGATCGAAGCAAGAGCAAGAGCGAGAGAAAGAAAGTTTGGGAAGTTTTGCTACATCTTCACTCAAGACTGCAAGTGCACAAAGAATTGTAGAAGGGCTGGTTGATAGAAGAAAAAAACACATTCAAAACTACTTACTGACTAATGATGCAGAAAATGTTATGAATAAGTATCCCTTTCTTGATTTATTACTTTAATTATCTGACATTCTATAGACCCCCATTAGTGGATTTTTTTTTTTGTCTTAGATTTCAATTTTCTGTCTCATGGTGAAAGCTATTTATCATAATAATCAGTAAAATTCAAAACCTTTTAGCAGTATTTATAAAATTCATTTACCAGGTTCAGCCCTTGGAGAATGACAAAGAAGGCGCATTAGTACGTGTGCCGAAGTGTTTTATGCAGAATTATCTGTCCATAAGAATGATTAAAAGTTCTTTAGAATATTTGGAGCCCATTAGATTTAAAAAAAAAAAAATTTTTTTTTTAAAGTTCTTACCTATGCTGTGACTGGAAGCCGGGACAGGCTGGTTGGGGGGCTGCTGAACTTTTGTCCGGATGATCCTGTGGCAGTTGGGAAAAAACAAATGGCTATTTACCTTCAGGAAGGGAAAAGGCTTCAACCATCTATGCACAGACAAACAGAAAACCCAGACTCAAACTGGGACACAGGGACAGAGGTGGGGGGAGATTAAGAACCCAGGTTGGAAGTTAGGAGTTGGAAGAATTATGGACTATGCCTAACTCAGCTCCTATATTACTGGTTGTCTTTAGATAACCTGCACCCACTCTCTGAGCCCTGAGTACTTCTTCTAAAGAATGGGGACACTGTGTTCACATTACAGGTAGGCATTCCCTCTCCTGCTCCAGCCCCGTAAGGGACTCCCTGAATGAATTTAGGGAGTTTCTTTCATCCCCTGGACCTCAGCCTTCTATCCAGGGAATGAAGGAACCAAACCACGCAGCCTCACTGTCCTCAAGGAACTCTCTTGGCTGGTTTCTCTGCCCTAGAGAGCCCATAAGCAAGATTAATACCCCTACCAACTGGAAACTTCCAAGGGAGGAGATACATGTGTTGCTCAGAAATGAAAGAAGGTTAAAGTGCTACCAAGAGACAGCACTTTAGTTTTGCTGCAAGGAAAGCAGCCTGGTACAAAGCCTCATTGAAAGGATCCACAGGGCTGGGAGTCAGGGGCGTCCTGCCCTGTCTTTCCAGAGAGCTTGCTCTAGTTCTTATATGAACTTGATGGTGACCTTGATCAAGCCCATTCCATCTTGAGTCTCAATATGATGAAGGAATTGGAACAGACCATTCTTTGCTTATTTTAAGTAGTCAAATTCTTTTTGGAAAGAAACGTAAAATAAAATTTACCCAAAACCCAGTGTATAAAAGCAAAACTGACTGCCCTTTGGCCCCTGGAAGTTCTGATGTTCTTCTACAGAACCTTGGGCTCCAAGGAGCCTAGATGACAAGCCTCCAACTGGGACAACACATAGGACCCCCAGAAGATAAACAAGCCCAAAACATCTTTGAGCACAGAACAGAGTCAAACAAGAAGTCCCTTTGGGATCTATAAGAAACTTTCTTCCTGGCATTTGGCAGAAAGGTGCTCCATAATAAAATGTTCAACTTCTTGGGAAAAGTTCTATTTCCACCTCAAGCTATTCCTGTCTTTTTTTTTTTTTCAATGTGATCCTCCTGCCTCAGCCTCCTGAGTAGCTGGGATTCCAGACATGTACTATCACACCCTGTAATCTATTCCCTTTAAAAAGGACATTCATTAGAGGTTTGCCTTATTATAAAAGAAATCATATGTGTTCATTGTAGACTATTTGATCAGCTTGGAAAAGTGTAAAGAAGACATCCCAAATCACATATACATAGTAATTATGTGGTAAAATACTTCATAACTAATTGCACATAAGTAAAACAAAGAAAAATCACATTTTCCTCCTTTTTCTTTTCAAACAGTTCTAGATCACGGGTAACAACTCATCAATTTTCATAAATTGTTGATAGGCAGCTGCAGCATAGTGATCAAGTATCCAGCTCCAGAACCAAATTAATAGAGTTTGAATCCCAGCCTTGCAATTTACCAGCCACATGACTTTGGGTAAATTACTTCACTTCTATGCCTCAGTTTCTTCATCTGTAAAATGGGACTAAGAATCATTCCTACCTCCTAGGGTTAGGGTTAGGATTGAATTAATTAACTACTTAGAAGTGGCTGCTCCATAGCAAATGCTCAATAAACATTAGGGGTTATTATTCTCAGTGGTGTCTTCATGAAGATTAAAGAGAAGGTTTAACCTTAAAAATGTTCATGTTTCACACTTGCCTTAAAAAGCACATGGGGTCCCCTTGAGAAGGAGCAGGGAGAAGAGCCTTTCTATACTATTTTTAAGGCTGTAAAATTGGTGCTTTATAAGGAATTCTACAATTACAGGACACTCTCCAAAGCTGCTCCCAGGGATGAGAGATTTTGCCCATCTGCTTGTAGCAGCCACCAAGTAAAAGTGAAGATCGTCCTCTTCCCTTGGAAAGAAATGATAGTGGGAAGAAAAATACCAAATGTATCCAAGCTATTCTAAAAATCATGAAAATTTTTAAAATTATATGCTGTCATCAAGACCTGTCCCAATGGGAGTTCACTAGGACTTTTTCTGAACCCAAAACAGTTGGCAGCCAACACTAAAAGGAATATCCTTGGACTGGGGTGTGACTAAGTGGCAGAGAACTTGCCTAGCATACACAAGGCCCTTGGTTAAAAAGGAGAGCAGATCCTTATGCTGCTGCAGAGCATTTGACTGTGTGACTGTGACCCTGGATCCATAGGAATGTCCTTTGGTCCAACAGAGAAGACAGCTCAGCAATCAATCTCTTACTAGATGAAGAAACTAAAGTCCAGAGTGCTCAAGTGACTTGCCCAGTGTCACACAGTAAGTCAGCTCAGGCTTCCATCCCTCAGGCCACAGTTGACGGAAGTAGTCCTACTGTCAAATACCTCCCATACGAGGCATAAAGCCTATTTGAATTCAGAATCGATTTAGAATTTGAAGACTAAAACTTCAAGAGAGCTTACATCTTATAGGCACTTTAGGATCCCCTTTCTACATCGGTCCCATTACTTTGAAAACCTTACAAAATTACACTGAAAAAAAATCAAGGTGCCTTGAAAAGGAGATGGGGCTGCAGAAACACCCCCATCCATTGGCCCTAATGGAACTATAATCAGTGCAGAAAGAAGCATGGGCCATCAGCTGTGTAGAGCAACCAGAAACCTCAGTCCAGCTGGCCAAGCAGGAAGGGGCCCATTGGTGGCACCTTTGTCTGCAGTTGATGTGAAGAAGAAAGGGACACTGGGAGAGCAATCTCAGAAGACTTGTTGCCACAGGTAGGATGAAAAGTGGAATGAACCAAGTGTCACCCCGGGCTGCCTCCGCCCCTTACATGGTATTTTTGGTTTTATTTTAATTAGTTGCTGATTCGACTGAGTTGTGAGCTTTGCCATAAATCCCTGATTTCAAGTTTCTCTTGAAAAATTAGAACACCCGGCAATGGGAACCTCCCCCATTCTCACATTGGTTATCCCTCTTAACTGGGAATGTCACTAGTTGTCCCCACTACTTGGCCTCTGATTTAGAGCCACAGGATGGAAATGGAAGAAGGAAGACCCCATTCCACCCCCTATTTGGGTCAGCTCTGGGACAGCCACCTTCAGATGAACTCAGGCTGGATTCCCAGAATCCCCAGGCAGGCACAATGATCCCAGCCCACAATGATCCATAAGAAGTCAAATGAACAAGGTGATTTGTGTTCCTGGAAATTTCCCAGAAGCCTAGCAGAATTGGTTCAGTGTTGCCGAACCCCATGTCAGTCACGTTTCCTGGAGTTGGTCCCGAAGACAGCAGAAAGGCACACACTTCAATGGGTGAACAGTGGAGAGGACCCTCTGGCCATCAAAGTAACTGTAAATGAAGCCACCACTGTCTCCACAGACACTTGAAAGAGACAATGGTGAGAAGTTGCCCCCAGGGAGGCAGGGGCAGTGAGAGAACTGGGGGCCCTCTTATAGGGTGACATGTGACATTTGTGAAGCAGATATTTAGAAGTTGCACCCATTTGAATGTAAAGGGAGTTTTCCTTCATATGGAAAATAAAACCGATGCTGCTGCCAGGTTTTCCTGTGAGGGAAGAGTGGGGTACGTCAGCATGAGATTGTCCCACACTTAATGAGTTTCCGCTAAAGAGTGCAGTGAGGACCCAGAATGCTCCCCGAAGGGAGTATCAGAAAAGGTTATGAATGGAGGGATCTGGAAGACAGTCAGCCAAACAGCTGGCTGCAAGGCTAGAAATGGAGTAGGAGTGACTGTTACCCCTCCTTGCCTCTTTTCTTATGGATCCTCAGTTCAGTCACTTGCAGAATCCTACAGGACAGTAACAGAAAGAGACCTGCCCTCTTTTTACTATCCATCTCTATCTCAGGGTCACCTTTCCCTGCCACCCACACCTAGGACTCAGTTTCTCTACCTGCTGCAGATGTAACAGCAGCGTAGAGGCACCACCAGCTGGCCCAAAAGCTATGGAACAGAATTCCAGGAGGCCCCTAAGGTTTGGCATGGCTTCAGCAACCAGCATTAGACCTCTTCTAGCCCAACTCCAGACACAAAGCATCAGCTGATAGGTCCCCCTTTCTTCTGCCACATCTGAAACCATTGCTCTCTTTGCTCTATAAGTTTCTTTCAAATAACTTATTTTTTAACTTAACTTTAATACATCCATTGGTGGGAAAAAGTTCAAAGTTCACAAGATCACTGGTTTGGTAGGCCAGTTTATTTTTCTAAAATATATGAAGATAAATTAATCACAAGTCAGGTTGTTTTTTGTTTTGTTTTGATTTGTTTTTGTTTTTCTGTTACTGGGGATTGAACTCAGGGGCACTCAACCACTGAGCCACATCCCCAGCCCTATTTTGTATTTCATATAGACAGGGTCTCACTGAGTTGCTAAGCACCTCACCATGGCTGAGGCTGGCTTTGAACTTGCCATCCTCCTGTCTCAGCCTCTCGAGCTACTGGGATTACAGGCGTGTGCCACTGCGCCAGGCACAAGTCAGTTTTTATCCTTGCATTACAGAGGATCTAAACCAGAGCCTTGTAAGTGGGTTATGCTTGAAATGAGTTGCTACTGTTTAAAAACATAGATTTCACACACAGGAATACATACATGGACACAAATACACACAAGTCCTAGTTTCTGACTTTTCTTGAAGAATGGAAAAAATCTGGCAAACATTTCTGGCAGAATTTATCTGGAGTTGAGAAGCAACTGCCCCTCTAATAAGGCTTGAGCTATCTTGATTGACACAGGTCCTACCATTCCCTACAGTCTGCTGCCTGACCTGCTTTCCTAGATACACTATCTGCCTGACCCCACATAAAGCATTAGAGTTTGTGGCCCCCGTGGTCCACCTAAAGTCATCTCATGAACCACCTAATTATACGTATACCCTGCACTGAGAAACCTGTGGCCTCCGGAACCTGATCACGGATGTGGCTCATATCCCTCTCCAGAGCAGGCCACCTGCTCCAACATTGCTTTAGGTGCATATGCCACCACATCTCTGCTTTTGGAGGCCCAGAATAAAAGTCATGATGCTTTCTGTGTCATGGAAATCCTGCAACCAGCCAGAAGTAAGGAACTCACAAAACACATTGGAGTCCCTCATGATACAGGAGAAGAACAGGCGTTCTCCCCACCCACAACCCGCCCTGTCACTGCTACTTCCACAGTGACTTTGTCTAGGCCATCCAGACTTGTAAGAGGACATCAGAACTCTGGCCTGGAGGAGGTGGCCTTCTAGAACAGAGACGGAGAAGCTAAGTGCCCCACTCCCCCCTCTCCGCACCACACAGGATGTCAGGGTCTTGGCAAAGGTTTGCAGAGAGAAGGAAAAGAGGCTAAGAGTTTATGAACCAGTGGGACTTGAAATGTCAACACAGTGATTCTATGCATTTGAGTCATCACAGAGGAATGGCTGTTAGGAGCAGAGGGGACCTCAAGAGACATTCCAGCCCACCTCTTTCTGCCAGGGGTGAGGGGGTCCTCTATGTCCAGACAGTCTGATCTTGGAGAAATGAAAACTGTTCAAGTTTGGTCTGCTGGTTTCCTTTTTCTTCATGGAGCTTAGAGAACAATCATTTATGTTTCCCTCACAACTTCATCCCTAATGCTATTGGTTCATATGGAGTGGAGACTGCACCCTCTATGATAGAAGACTTTCTTCCAGAAATTAATTTTTAGGGCTGGGGATATAGCTCAAGAATGGAGCACTTTCCTAGTATGCATGAGGCCTCAGGTTGGATTCCCAGAAATGCAAAACAAATAAGCAATTTTATTCTTAATTGGTGTTCCGACAGCATCATTCAACATTGTTTGGATCAGCCTAGGGAAGTGAGGGAGCCATTGTGGTTCCCAGGACAATGTTGGGTCTGGCACCTTGGTGTGTGGTTCCCTGTCTCCACGGGTGAGAGATGGGGGAGTTTAGGAGAGGGCAGTCCTCTCACACCAGAGCATCCTAGCACCCTGGACCTCATCCTTGCAGATGAAAGACACACCTCAGAGCCACGAGGGCCCTGGGCTCCAGAGAGAGCAAGAGTCTGTTGAGATCCCACTTGAGTTGCTGGCAGAGAAGCAATGACAAACCAAGTCTCCCAACTCCAAGTGAGAGCCCTGCTTCCCATACTCACTTGCCCAACCTCTGCCCTTACCAAAGGCAGGATTTTCTTTCTGGGAACCTCCGAGATGGACAAGTGCAAAGACCTTGGGCCTTTGCTGGCAAGGACAGGGACACTTGTGGAGCCCTTATCAGGACAATTCACCGCAAAGTACTCCACACAGATAAATGATAAAGAGAATGATAAAAGTTACTCTGGACTCAGAAAATTCTCAAGCAGTCAAGCTATTGGCCAAGCATTCCTGTCGACTTTGAAGAGAAGGAACAAAGACCAGCAGCCCCCAACTTGGACCTCTTGTCCACTAACCCCTAAGGGTCCTTGATAAAAAGAGAGACAAGATCTTCAGAGAAGATATACATCGAAACTCCAGGACCCATGCACCCAGATCCCAGCCCCCAGCAGCAGCAGCCCCCTCACCTGTTGATGGAACTGACACTGGGCACCGTGTCATTGTCACACACTCGCTCCGCCAGCAGCCGGTCCCTGATCTCCCAGGCAAACATGGTGGGATTTTGGCGTTTGTACTCAGCGATTTTTTCTACCACTTTGGGCGTGGCAACCTTTGGTTTGGATCCTCCAATCACCCCAGGCTTGATGCTTCCTGTCTCATAATACCTAGGACCCAAGGAGAAAGGAGCTTAGTCATGAGGAACCAGTAAACTGGATGAACATTGGAAATGTTCTGAACCCAGATGTGCTGTGAATGTAAACTACAAATCATATTTTTTAAAATTTAGTGCCAAAAAAATGCAAACTATCTTACTAGTAACGTTTATATTGGTTATATGTTGAAGTGATAATTTTAATGTTAGGATAAATAAAATATGTAATTAAAATTAGTTACACTCATTTCTTTTTACTTCTCTTAATGTGCTATTAGAAAATTTTTAAATTGCAATTTAAAACTTTTAACTTTCTCACATGATATTCTATTGGACAGCGCTAGCAGGATGCTAAAGATTAACAAAATGATTTGGCATTCATCTTTCAATTTACAGTTTTCAAAAATTCTTTCAAGTCAGTTTTCCCAATTGATTCTCCACAGTTCTAAGCACATCATTCATTTTGGATGAATGAATGAGTAAATGAATAAATGAATGAAAAGGTGCCCTCTATGGTATAAAATGGAAATTCAAAGAATTTAAATGGCTTCCTTGGGGCCACTGAAGATCAAGTGGCCAAGCCTCTTGAGCTAAAAATTTTCCCAGAAAAGTGGTTTATACCTTTGATTTTCCATTTCTCCCATCCACCAGCAGAAACTCCAGCATGCTGTAAAACTGTCCCCTAAAATGCAACTTATTTTTCCATAAGAGAAAAACAATAGCCCTGATGTAAAATTAAAAGGAGTGTTGGATTCCAGAATCAACTGGAAATGTGTGTTGGAAATCAAAACCCAAGCAATCAGAAAAACCAACCACGAGTCTCGGCAGCTCTTCTAGGGGCCTCCGCAGAGGTAAATGGCTGTTTCTAAGGACATTTCCATGCTATCAGCTTTTCCTCGTTAACGCAAATAGGATGTCAGGGTTTTACAGTAAAACCGAGACCAGGGAGAAGAGTGCCATGAAAGATCATTTCAGGGAAAAAATGACTTGATTCTTTTTCTGAATCTGAGCCGTCACTGGATGTCTCTCTCAATATTTACAGAGGAATTTTTGACTTCCTCTTCTGAAGGAGATTATCTTGCAGTTGAATTTTTTTTTTTAACCAAAAGACATTTTAGAAACAACTACTAATTTTTCAACCTAACCAGAGTTTATTAGAGGTAAGGGAACCAGATGATTCTGGGATAGATAAAAGTGTTATCCAGGAACAAAGGCAACGTTTATAGAGATGCTGACATTCTCAGCCTGGGTAAGTCTGTTTAGGGCTAAGTTAGTGAATAATTCTAGATTAGAAGAAATAATTTGAGAGCAATAATGTAGAAGTGCAAAGTCTATTTTTCACTGAGAAGAGTTATTTACAAATTTTGACCATAAGAAAAACTCAACCTATCCTCCCTCTTTCTGAGAAATTGCTGAAAGCAATTTTCTACATAATTTGCTAAAATATTTTTATTATTCACAACAGCGTTTTTAAAAATCTTAGTTTTTTTTTTTCCACGAGTCTAAGAAAGTACCTAAATCTAGGCACATAACAACCCTACAATGTCCAATTGTCCCCTCAATTTTACCATAAAAAGTGAATTTTTACTTATGACACTTGTTATTTAAGCACAACACTCTAAAGTTTACAGGGCTCTTCTTCAAATTATCATGCCAATCTTTGAAGCCAGTGGGGTTTAAAGAGGGAAAATAAATGATCAGAAGACTAAGCAACGAGCCCAAATCCATCTGGAAGTTGGAGGCAGCTGCAGCCTTCAAACCTTACTTTGAATCCAGTGCTCTTCTGCTAGAGCAAACTGCTGCTTTGGTTAAAAAATTTTAAAATAATAATAACAATGATTCTTTGCAATTGTAGACAGCTTTACTATATACCAAGCATTTTCACCCACATCTTTCATTCATTCGATGCTTGTCTAGCGCCTGTTAGGACAGGGATGGTCTCAGGGCAAGGGTTACCAACCCTGTGCTGCCTCTTCAAAATATGTTAGTTGAATGGGTCTACACCATTCACATAGCAACTCAGAAGGCAGCAGGATAAAGTCCCCCACTTACTTGGCTGGTGGGTGGCAGCACTCAGGACTCCGCTGCCATCCCACCTGAGCGGTGCCAACTGTGGGAGGCTGTGGTCTTGACACAAGAGGTCTCTGTCTTCCTTTTGACTGACACATGGGCCAGGCACTTAGAAGGCAACACTGACATTGTTGAAACCCCAACTCACAACTGTGTCAAGTGAGGATTCAGACTTAATAACCATCCTTTCATCTCAGCAAAACAGCCGTGCAGCCCTTTGGCTTACAGACAAAAGATGAACGGCAGTCACCAACACACAGTGTCCTTCCGTGCAGAGAGTGTTAGTCTGGGAGTCAAGAGGTGTAGGTGCCTGTCAGCTGCTCTGACACTAACTCGCTGTGTGATCTTGGCCAACTCACTTAGCCTCTCTAGGCTTCAGTTATCCCTTTTATAAAATAGACAGAGGATGTTTACCCTACTTGCAGGGTTGTTGTGAAAATAGAAATACAGAATGGTTACAAGACATCTTTGCAAAATAAAATAAAAAGCATGGGCTGAGGATTAAAGTCCTGTATAAAATGTTTATTTTTTGCTGTATAACAACATATCACCCGATTCCAAATAGCCTGAACCTCCCAACCAAGCTCCAGTGGGAAAGGACAACAGCTGAGCTCAGGGTAGATTTAAACTTGGCCTCACATGCCACTGGGCTGTGCCTCTCCAGCCTTTAGCAATCTTGAGATCTAGACTGACCGCCCACACTTCTGGAAGACTGCCCGCCTTCCTGGGGGGAAAGGGGTCTCTGCCTGCCCCAGTTACTTTGCCTACTTTTCCATGCAACCTCTGAAGAGCACAGCTACCACACAGCAGAGGCTCTCTACAACCTTTACCTCATAGTGCCTGTCCAGCTTTTCAGTGACCACCCCCCCCCAAAAAAAAAGGAAAGAAAAAAAACCTGTCAATTGAACAACCCCAGTTCAGAAATTCCCAGTCACACTGTTTTAGGGCTGAACTTGTTTCTTAAAAGGCAGTTCTAATTACAGTGACATTTTGTCCACTGTGGTTCTTAGTTATGAAAATAATGAGCTATGAAATTCCAATTTATTGTTGACAACTTAAACGGCCAGGCACCAGAGCGACGCGTAACTTCCTACTGCCACTCTACCTAGTGACAAATCTATTCCGGACCGAGGGAGGCTGCCGGCTGGGTTTGGAAGGATCCCTGTCTGCCTTAGTCTCCATGGGAGATTTGGAGGGTTCTAGGGCAGCACAACATGAGGACCCAGCATTGCATTTGGACGTCTGCTCTGAGAAAAGGCTCAGTATCTTAAAGATTTCAAACAGCAAGCAAAATGTCGGCTCAGCAAGGATGTCTCAGCAAAAACAAAGGAAGGGCCTTCTTTCTCTCTCCCTCTCCCTCGGTACAAAGAAGCTTCGCAAGAAGATATCTGAGACTCATTCAACTCTAAAAGTCCAATTCTGAGACGGTCTAAAATATTTCTCCTCTCTTTCTTTTTCTTTCTCCTTCTGTCTTGTGGTTTCTTTCTATTTCTCTTTTAAAACCCATTCTCTTTCCTCTTTGTTCCCTTTTTCTCTTTCTCCTTTCCTTCCCTCGGTGGTACTTTCTTCTGCTACTCTCACTCTCACCTTCCTGTCTAAAACCACCCTCTAACAAGAATACAAGACTGATTTCCTGAAATCTTCTCTGAACTCTGGCAGAGACTCATTTGCTTGCAGATCACTAAATGGGAGTGGAGGAGCCCCCAGCCTCCATAGCTGAGGTACCTGCTCTGGGCAGGTAGATGAGACATAAATACAGGAATCCAGGACTCTAAAGGAGCTGCCAGGCCCTTGGCCCTGAAATATCTTCCTCTGGCCTCAAGCAAAACTGCAAGGCTATTTGATACAGTTGCTTCCTCCAGCTGAGAAATTTCTTGAATTCCAGCAGACGGAAGAAAAAGAGCAAGCAGAAAGTCATGATGTCACTGACATACTTCAGAATATTTATTTTTTATTCAGGCATCTGTTCTCAAACCATAATGTAGGCTACAAGACAAAGGTTGTTTTCTGACAACGGGAAAGAAATGGAAAGCAGTGAACGGCTAAACCCAAGAACGTTCCTGCCCGCCAGGAAAGACCTATAACACCACCACATGCCCAGAAACAAGCCTACAGCTTTGTGTGCGGGTGTGGGGAGTCACAGGTGGCCCAGGAGTCCTTTAGACTCCATCCCAACCCAAGTGCTAACTGGATGTATAAACCTGGGTTAGTCACTTTGCCTCACTAGGTTTGTTTCCTGATCTTAAAATATGCTTCACTGGATCATGCTGAGGCTACTGAGAAAATAAACGGGAGCGCTAAAAGGCTATACAGCCCTCTGGGAGAATCGTCATTGTTAGTATTTTGCTCGCAGCAAATCGCCGGGTCAAGTGGCAACTTTCAAATGTCAGATTTGAGAGTCAGCTTTTGCTGTCTATCCCCCACCCCCATTTAATATACACTTAGGATGCCTGTCACTACGAAGGAAACACAACACATAGAAGGAAAATACAGCAGACCAACATAATGTGGTTGATGATAACCCAAACTGAAAATGATGGCTAACTTTTAAAAGTGGAATATGCTTTTTGAAAATATTAAAATGAAACATTGAGGGCTAGGCATATAGCTCAGTGGTAGAACACCTGCTTAGCATTTGCAAGGCCTTGGGTTCAACACACACATACACACATACAAAAAAAAAAAGGAAGGAAGGAAGAAAGGAAGGAAGGTAGGTTGATTAAACTCTGGTGTATTATATTATACCTTACGGAGTCTCTACCCAGCTCTGCCCAGGGCTGTGAGCTCTCCAAAGTGGATAGGGGAATTTCCTAAGAACCTCTTACTCCTGGGTTCTTTAGGATAATTCATCAGGCTTTCTAGAAACATGTCCCTCCTAAATCTTCCTATTCCACTTATCACTTGAGATGGAGTTACCCAGGGTCACTCTGAGTTGGATGGCCTCAGAAGAGCTTTGAAAACTCTAAAGTGCTGTGCATGTAAAGTGAAATGCCACTATGGTCCTCACTATGACACTGGTACATTAGACAGCTGCTGGGTCGTCTTTAAGATCTTTATTTGAAAGTTCATGGAAGCCTGGAGCTCCTGCCTTTACCTGCCAAGAATTTTGCTGACACAACCATGGCTGACCCGAAGCTGCCTGGAGATGTCGCAGGGCCTGACACCTTGATGAGCAAGTTCCACTATCCTTTGGCGGACTACATCTGGAAGTGGCCGTCCGTTCACAAAAACCCCCCCAAGCTGATTCACTCCTCCATGTCCTGAAACAGATCAGAAACAAAAGGCAAGGGGAAGGGTGGTTAGAACCAGTCACATAGTAGAAGCACCATTGTGAGCACCCAGAGACTGGATGTCTTGCTCCTGGAGTCCAATCCCACAGACCACACTGGGTTGCTTTTTAAAATTAAGCTTAGCCTTTGTCCATCTTCAAGCAGTCATTTGGGCCAACGACAGTCAGGATTGCCATACTGTTTCCTTTAGTTATTAGCATTTCTCTTGCAATTTTAAAACAATGGACTTTGAAAAATATTTAATCTATACTAACAATAGGGGCACGACTTATTACATGATACTTAAGTCTCAGGAAGATCCTGGGGAGAAAATTATGCTTTAAAATACATCAATTTTAAAGAGGATAGAAAAAACAACAGAACTCTTTTCCTTCTAACGAATGTCTTTAAAAGTGAAAAAGGACTACTCCAACAAACCTACATCTCAGGGAAAAAATGTTTTTAAATCAGCCATCTAATTTAAGGGCTAAGGACATTTTATATATATATATATATATATATATATATATATATACACACACATATACATTTGCAGAGTACTGAGACAAAACCCAACCACTGCCTTCATAAAAAAAAAATTTTTTTTTTAAATTTTAAATCCTTCTGTAAAGGTAAGCCTGGCATGTGGACTTGACCACTACACCCTCTCAGAGCACACAAAAGAAATGGGTCATAGGATCTTCTATACACAGCACATTCCACTTCACTGTATCATGATTTGTTATAAAAGCATTTCCCTGGAATTTTTGGAATATGTTTGCAATTGACAAGCAGCTTTAAGTTGGTTAGGGGGAAATAAAGAAGCCAAAGAAAGCTTCTGAGTCCCAGGATTTATAAGAGGTCTGAGGTGGATTTGAAGTAAAAGGAGTTGGGGAGTGCTATCCATATGCTCCCTTCTCTTACATCAAGGTCCTTCTGGAGTACCTAAGTAAATTGAAGAGCTAACCCAGTAAACACAGAGCAATCCAATGTAGCAACATCATTGACCTTGTAGCTGTTAATCAGCCACTAACTGACATTGCTGAGGTTTGGGGCGAAGAGCCAAGCCCAGAAGTATACTGTTGCTTGGCAGCTCAGAGGCAAAGGCAGGGGAACCTCCTTAACTGATACTGGCTGAGCTGGGACTGGACTGTACAAGGGAAGCCAAGGCACCTCTAAGGTCACATACATATACATTCTCCAAATCTAAAACTCTATAAAATAGCTACCTCATCTCAGTTATTTTCCCCAATTTTCATCTACCACCTAGGTTCATGAATAATATTTGCAATGGAGGGGACAAAAACACTCTTAATATAGCCTATATCCTTAAAACTATCCAAGCAATCCACTGAAGTTTCCCATCAATATTTCCTAAAATGACCAAGTCCAGGCTAATTTCAAAGAAAAAGATGATCTTATAGATAATTGCAGTACTTAGTTCCAGTTTTATGCTGAATTTTTCTGAATTTTCAAAATGAACTTTAATCAATGTTAATTGTTCTGAAACATTCCAGATATAAGATAAAAGGGAGAACATCTCTAACAGGATTTTGAAGGTAGGAACACAATTGTACAGTTTACCTAAACAGAAAGACTGAAGTCACCCTGGCCAACAACCTTAGGAACGCTTGGTTCTGGGGCTGGGAGCATCTAAGAAAAATGGATTATATATATCTTTCAAGACAGGATAAATTTAAGTAAAAGAAAGTAAATTCAAAATTGGTATGAGCTCTGAGAGGTCAATGGACTACGGAGGGGAGGGGGGGGGCGAGGAAACTAAAAACACCAGCACACTTTTGGAAAGACCTGGAAGTCCAGGCCTCGTGGCCCATCTGCAAAAGCCTGTTTGCTTCAGTACTAACCAGTTGAGACTTTTTGCTCCAAACACAGCAGCCACCGTCAAAGGACTTTAATGCCAAGAGTAGTCATTTGTGAGTTTGGAGGGTTGTATTATATTATGAAAAAAACAATACAAAGACAAAAGCACCAATGAGTGTATAATCTGGTTTTGGACAGAGCAAATACCCATACTCTTTACCCTTGACCACAAAGGCAAAGTTGCTAAGGATCTTGCAGAATCTGATGCACATCTCCACAGCTGGCACTAGACCCAGAGAGACCTAGAGACTTTGACATCCCTCAGCAACCTGAAAATGCCCCAAACCCACTTGGACCTCTTGCCTCAGTTTTACCCAACAGAGTTCTTCAAGGATGGCAGTGAAAAAAAAATTCATAGCTGTGGCCTGAGGAAAGCCATTTATCCTGAGACTGGAAAAAAAGGGAAGTCTGAGAGAAGAAATGGGGGACAGGGAAAGAAAAGAGAAAAAAAAAAAAGAAAGTGTTTGGGAAAGGAGCAGAGTGATAACTAAATGAGAGAGATAGCAAGCAGAGAGAGAATCTGAAAAGGAAGCAGCAGATCAGGCAGGCAGAAAAGGAGGAAAGAAAGGAATGGAAAAGCCAGAACAGACCAAGAAAGGAAAGAGAAGAGAAAATGGAGAAGTGCAAGGAGAGAGCATCTGGAAAACAGGAGACTTCTATAGAGTCAGACTTTTGTTTTCTGGTGCCCCCCCCCCCCGCATAAGCACAGCATCTCCTCGAAGAACCCAAGTCCCTGCTTCTAATTCTGTGGACTCTAGGTAGTTGAGGGCTTATCCCCTGGAAGGGTGCTGGGCCAAGAAAATCTTCACTTTCCAGGAGAAGTAGAATTTACAGAGGGACTGCAACAGAGACAGGTGCGAGTAGATCAGGTGAAGACTGGGAAACAGACACAGATACAAGGGAAACAGACCAGCCTCCACAGGGCAGAGTAAGCAGGGTTTAGAGGTGGGTGGGTAAATAAAAGTTGAATTACAGATGCCCCTGGGGCCTTTGTGGCTCTGGTCTGGAAGGCACTGGCTTCCATAGAAGCTTCTCAGGTTCTGATAAGGACATACAACCCACTGGAGGCCCTGACCACACCCCAAAGGGTATTGGGAAGGTCTTTGCTGATTCAGCTGTGGATTAAACTATAGGACACACAGGGTCATTGAAATTTCTCCTAGATACCAGAAAGGAAAAATGAAGGGGCACACAGACATGTGAACAAGAGCACATGGAAAGATTAGGCATGAAATCCCCCCAGTGGGCTCTCCAACAGGTAGATAGGCAGTGACACACATGAACAGTTGGGCTGTGGACACAGATATGGTTGAACAACACAAAGTGAGAATCTTGCACATGTGAATTCACCCACACAGTCTGCTGCCTCTATCTGGAATCTGAGTCCCTCCCTGTCCCCTTCAAAGCTTTATGCTTCTGTCAAAGATACCCAAGAAGCTACTTCAGCTTTGCTCATGTGAACTTCTGTTAGTCTTTCCGTCTTTCTGACCTTAGTGTCATATTCTATAACATGGATCTAACTGAAGTTTTGGGTGATACTCAGGAAGGACACTGGCTATAAAAGTGCCTTATAACTGGTAAAGATGCTTGGGGAAGAAAATGTCTTAGAGGGGAGTCCATTGTGTTGATGTGAATGATGAGCCTGAAATGGTGAGTGGGACACTTTTGAACTATGAAGCCTATTTCCTAGCAGTGCCTGCCCCTCCTTTTAGAAGCTGTTTGCTTAAAAGTGGTGGTTGAAGAATTGGGGCAGGAAAAAATCAACCAGGGCCAGCAAGGAAGATGAGGAAGTGGGATTTTGCGCCCCTATTTATTACAACCACCATCTAGAATCAATTTTTCTCCCCCATCCCCACCGCCTGCAAATTGGGCTCCAGAGCTGGCCTATATTGTTCAAGCAAACAGCTTTGGATGCCAGAACCAAAGGTTCTTCCAAAAAAGCCAAGGGCTTGCACCAGCTCTGGAAGCTAGGCTGGCTGGGGCCCAACCCCCACAGTGCTGCCAGGGAGATTGAAAATGGGAGGAGGGGGCAGACTAAAGGCCAGGGCAAGGAGGCACAGGCAGACATTAGCCGTTGGCTAATCTGCACCTGGAAGAAGCTGCTTTCTCCATGCTGATCCACAGCCGGGAGACCACCTAGTCTGATACTATCTCCCCAAGGGCTGGGAACGACCTCAGAGCAGCCCAGCTCTGGGCAGAAGAAGGCAGCAGGGGCCTGTGGATTCCAGCCAGCAAAGAGAGAAGCACTGGGGCAGCTCTCCCTATCTTGTCCCCCATTTACTTCTTGGCTGAGCCAAGGGCTTGCTCACCTCTCAGAGTATTGCTCCCAACTCATTTGTTTTCAGGCTCCTTCTGTAAGATCACAGCTTTTCTAGAGCCAGGCTCAAGTATGTACAGGAAAAAGACTGCAGAGAGCACTAGGGTCACTACAGACTGGAAACCGTTTGAGCACAGGCCCCAAATGGTGAGGAATCGTTTGGCTGGTACCAGAACAAGAGGCTTCTGTGCCCAAACCCACCGCTTTGGAGGATTACCTTCGACTCTGAATTTTCACACAAAGAGAAACTGACCTGCCTGCAGCCAGCCCAGCTGCCTAGACAAGCCTTCCCCTGCTTGCCAGGCCACTCGGCACTCCCTGGCAGCCGCGGACATTCTCGTCCCGGAAGCATGCCTTCTCTCCAGCCGGGTCTCTGCTGCCTTTGTTAAATGGGGGACCCACGGCTAGGGAAACCGAATCCTGGGCTAACAGAGGCTGGAGAGGGCTCCTGGCCACTGAGTAACTCCTTGACCTGCAACCTGCAGAGACCGAGCTGGGCACCAGACTGGTTGTTGCCAAAGCCTCCTCCGCCGGCTCCACAGCCAACAGAAAGGAAACGCGATTCGTTCCACTTGGAATTTCCTTGAAATCTCCGAATCTAATCCAGCGTTAACTCACTGTAAGAGGAGCGCTCATCTCACAGGAGGCTGTGCTAATGGGTGAACTGGCAGGATCCCGGATCAATCAGGCGGACCTTACCCGCGCCCAAAATGACCCTTCCCGTCTCCTACACACGAAGCGACTTTCAGAAGGTGGGGGCGCCTGTATGATGACTAATTGGCTTCTTTATTTCTTTTTTCTTTCTTTCTTTTTAGGGGAGAAGCCACCACGAGGCAGGCGTCCTGCAGGGAAGGACCCAATGGGGTCTTTAAGGGTCTCTGTATGAACTGGCCGTCTCCTAAGCAGAAGCTTAGCCCAGGGAGCACGACTTCGTTGATTTTTCAAATCCCCCTCCTCAACTCCAGGACGCCCTTGGAGCCCTGGACCCGGTGTCCTTTCTTAGCTCTCAACCTCTTCCTCTACAAATACAGAGATTGGTCAGGGCCCCGCTTTCCCTCCAAATGGCAGTCTTGATCACCCACCAAGGCTGAAAAAGGCGCCATCAGGGTTGGGGCACCGTCTGAGACTCAGACTGACCTTTCGCAACAACTTCGTGCCCTCCAACTGGCCCAGCCCGGAGCCCTCTACGAGTCCCAGCCAGGGTTCTCCGGATGCTCTGAAATGTCCCTGCTGGAGCCCCAGAAAGGCTGCAGCTCGCTGCCTACACTACGCGTTGCTGGAGGCGGGATTCCAGGACCAGGTATTCTGGCCTGGGCGGCCGAGTGCGTTGTTCCACGTCCCCTGCCTGGAAGCCCTGGCACTTTGTAAAGTTGGCTACACAGCTACAGAGGTCCAGGGTCCTCCCAGCTTTAGGACCTGCCCCGCGGTCCGGCACCCCCAACCCGGTCCCAGCCGGAGAGTGAGAGAAGCGAGTTCGCCGCCTACTTACTATGCATGGATGCAAACGGGTCGTGCTTACAGTGTATTTCCATCGGGGCGCTCCAGACTGCAGGCCGGCCCACGCCGCCGCCTCCCGGCGCCAAGGGGCTGCCCAGGGCGGCTAGGGAACCGTGCCACCAGGCCGGGCACCGTGCGAGCCAGGCTCAGAAAACACTGCTGGAGTCTTAGGGTCTCTCCCAGAGCCTCCCTGCTGAAGATTGTCGAAAGCTCCGCGGAGAGGCGGGAAACGGCGCTAGCGCAGTCGGTCTGGGAGCGGGCGCCCAACTCTGACTGGCTTCGTTCCCCGGCTGGTTCAGGCGGCGGTTCCGGGCCCAGCCCGGGGTAGCTGCGGCCAAGGCGCCCGCGGCTTCGGGGACATAGCGTAGGGGCCCACCTCCAGCACCGCTAGGAGCTCCCGGTCCCCTGCAGGAGCACTTGTCAGGAGGCCGCCGGAACACACGGCCCTTAGGTTCACTCAGGAAGCAGCGAGGCCCGCCGGCTGCCAGGCTGGTTCCGCGGCCTCGCTGCCTCTAGGGTCCCACCTCGACCCCTCAGTCTCCACCAGATCCTTTTTCTCTGTTTCTCTGAGTCTCTGGGGCTCGGACTTGCCCCCTCCGTCTCTCTACAACTGCCTCTCCGACGTCTCAGACGAAGTTGCGGAGAACTTCCTCTCTGGCTGCGCAGGGGCCCGGGTGGGTTCGGAGATGCTTCCGCCACTGATGTTGGGGCGGAGAGACTTCGGAGTCCCCAGGAGCTTGCAACCCTCAAACCCAGGGACCCGCTGCCTTCAAAGTTCCCGCGGCCTCAGCTGCTTCCCCATCGCTGGGAACAGGAAAGGGGACAACAGCGACCGGCTCCTTCTCGCCCGGCTATTTGCCTCACGCCTACCAACTCTTCGAACCCAGCTGCCCTCTTTTTGGGGCTCTGTTTGGACTGTCTTCCAGATGCCTCTTCCGGGACAGCCGCCGCGCCTGCCCCAAGCGTGGAGCGAGAGACCGAAGAGAGAGCAGAGGGTTCCCGCCACCAAGGCCGCCAAGACTGTCGATGCTAAGATGAAGCCACTGCCGGCTTTGACTGCCGGTGCTTCTACTGCCGCCGCGGGCGCTAGCCTTTCGCCTGCTCGGCGCGCACAGTGCGCCACCGCGCCGCCCCGGAGCCGCTTTCAGGACCCGCTGCGTGTGGACAGCGCCGCCCGGGGCTCAGCCTCCCTCCGGGCGGGGGCGGGGCGGGGGCTAACCTGCCAATCATGTTCCACCAAGCCAATCAGAATGAAGGCATCCAGCCCTGGTCCGAAACACCGCCCTATTGGCTAAGCAACCCACGAGCTCCGCCTGATTAGCCGATACCTGGGCAATGGGAGAGAATGGGGGGCGGGGCCCGAGCGGCGGCGCCACGTTCATTGACAAACGCGCGGGGCCAAGGCCTAGTGGATAGTGGATGGGGGAGGGGAAAGGGAGAAGAGGGCCCACGCAGTGCCTGGAGTGTCTAGTTGCTGCTCCTACCCGGGCCCGCACTTCCCCGCTGCTGTTAGGATCCTGGAACGCCCTGAGGCATTAGCGGCCGGCTGAAGCGGAGTGAGGGGGTTAAATGAGGGAATAGTCTCCAGAAGGGAAAAACAAACAAAACAAAAAGCCCACCCAAGAGTGTTAGAGGAAGCCACGAAGTGCAGTAAGATCCTGCTTTCAATCTAGGTGATGGACACCTAGTATGCACATAACTGCCAGTTCTGACCTCGTTTTCTTCATCTGTAAAATGGGCAGAGTTGTGTAAACTCATTTGTGATGAAAGCTCCTTCCAGGAAAAACACTTCAGAATTTTATCAAACACTTGCAAAGCCACAACAACCTCCTCTTTGTCTTACCCTGTCCCTTCCTCTAGCTGCAGAACTTACAGTTCTGCATTAACCAAAGATAAGAGACATTGGGGAGAAAGATATGTAATAATCCTTTAAAATTAATATCCAGAGCATTTCTGGGGAAAGAGGCCATCTGAGACTGTGGGCCAAATTGCCCAAGCACAGAGCAGTAGGCCCTCCTTCCAACTTCAGACTAGATGCTGCTAGCGGCTGTGGGGGCTGGTGATGCTTCAGCTGAATACTTCTGTCAGCAGGAACAATTCCCTCACCACCACCACCACACGGTATCTTGGAACTGAGTGAGCCCTCTCTTCTCCAGTGCTAGTGATAGTCTCTGAAGCAAGCAGCTAAGCACCCATTATATCTGCAAGGGTCCAGCAAACAATATTATACCTTCCAGCTGTCAGAAAAACCTCACCTCACCTAGCCAAAAGTTCCTGTAGTGTTTGTGGGGAAGAAAAAAAAAAAAGGATTGATTTCTAGCTGAACTTTCCTGATACAGAAGTGGTCTTTGACCAGACAGTCTCAGTTTCTCAGGGTTTGAAGACTCTAGGAACACAATCAAAATAACTGGACCTTTAAAAGGAAACATTTGTCAGCCCTTCTTCATCTAGAAGGCTATAGTTTTGTGAGCCCTACAGTGTGCCAGCCCTCACCCCCCACAGAGACACTGAGCATTCTTCTGCCCCTGGCAGCTTCTAGGAATGGTCTGCAGATTCACCATTTCAAATTCATAAGTGATGACCTTTTAACATTAAGCATAAGCCCACCAAAACAGTATTCTGATTCCTGTTCCAGAGAACAGAGCACAGGCTGATCCTGGGAGGATCCCTGGCTTCATTGTCAGCCTGTTTTCTCTCCTTTCCCCTCTCTCTACCCCTGCTTCACTTTTCATACCTCTAAGCTGAGTTTGCCCTTGGATCCACTTTCTGTGTCTGTCTCAGACCCAGCTGTCCCTGACCGGTAGACAAGTTTCCGGTGCTGACACCCAACCCCACCCCAGCCGGGGCACAGCTGTGGAAAACAGCCCCCACGCAGGCCTCTAGGGACCCAGGAGGTATGCAGGGGAAGTGATGTATCTCTCCATTGCCTGGAACTCTGCAGATCTACATCTTAGTTACCAATCCCAACCCCCACCTTGGAGCAGGAAGGTCACCACAGGAGAGAAACTAGGATGGAATAGAGTTGGCTTCATCCCATGGTGTCCAATGGGTTGAAAATCCTCTGAGGGAGTATGGAGACACCCTAAGAGTGACAACCAGTGACAGCCAGTGACAACCCTACATGTGGCTCTGCTCCTTGAGATTGGGCCAACAAATCCAGATCTAAAGTCTTAGAACTTAAAGTGCTCTGAGGCTATGCTTCCCCCATTTTACAGATGTGGAACCTGAGGCCAGGAAGTGGATGTGACTTGTCCAAAGTCACACACACAACAAGCTGGGGCAGAAAAAAGACTGTAAAATTCTCTTCAAACTTCTTCTCCAGACCCCTCTGGCTAGACATAGCTGGTTGTCAATGGAGGAGGAGGGATGCTGCCAAATCAAAGAACCGGTTTTCTTTGTAAAGGTTGAACAAAATCCCTGGGGCATTTGGGAATGGGATGAAACCAGAGATGTTATTCCAACAGGAGTAGCACGGATTCCCTTTCACTCAGTAGGTGTTCCACTTCTTTGGGGCGTTTGGATGTGTGCTCACACAGGACCAGTCTAACCTGTGCGCAGAAAGTAGCCACGTTGTGATGCGCCTCGGAAAGGAAGTTCCCACGTGAGAGGGGATTATTCATCATCGCCACCTGAGCTGGATAGCCTACAAGAACTCAAGGCGCGACCAGAACTGGTATCGTGGCCACCTAGCCCAGCCTTACAGGCCACCAAATGGCGGCCCAGAGATTACACAGCGATTCCAATGCTGAACCCAACTTTTGCGCCTCAGTCCTGTCTCCCTACGCCCAGAAGCCGCAGGCTATGTCCAAAAGAAAGAGACTAGCAACGAGCTGATCTCACCGATGCGCTGATCGTGGTTGTGCTTTAAAGTCTCTCATGGCTTCTTTCAGCAGCGGGGCTTTGGCATCAACCCTATGAGAAGCGCAGGGGACAGAGCCCGGGAAAGGAAATCATCCAGGTAGAAACTTAATTTATGTAAATCGAATCGCCTTTGAAAAGTTTTGCTACTGAAAGAAAGCCCATTGAGAATACTGTTTGAAGAGCTAAAACATCTTTGGAGAGAGCGTCCACCTCGGTATGCAGCCAGAGACCTCACTTCACTCGGTCACACACCCCTCCGGGTTCCCCTTTTTCGCCTCTGCATGACTCCCTCTAGCGCACAGCAAAACCGTAGGTCAGAAAGCTGGGGCTGTTTAGAGCCCTGTAAAGCTGAGATCTACTCCCGCAGGGGACTCCAACCCATTTCCCAGCTCTTGCTTGGGAAAGCAAGGACTTAGGGGACTCAGATCAGTTCTCATTTCGGGAAGATCAGAGATGCTATGGGCTTCTGTGTCTTAACTTGGTAGGTTCTCTCTAACATTCCTTTAAAAAAAAAATCAAAAGAAAGAAAGCAAGTGGCTTGAAATTACAAAGCAATCTCTGATACAAAAAATCCTGCATCGTTTTCTACACCTGAATCAGAAGTCTGCCTTACTTGGCCCAAGTCTGTTTGCAGGAATTTTGAAGGATATGGGAGAGAAGGGAGAATCCAGCCAGGTTTTTCAAGAACCAAGTACACCACCTGTATTGGAGTTAGTTATCTTTATCAGCCTGGATCCGCCCCCCCCCACACCCCCCAGAGACACCAGGATCACTAAAACAAACTCTTTCTCAAAGACTTGAGACTGGGTGCAGCCCTTTCTTCTAGAGCCTCAGCTTCCTCTGCACCTAATGCAGAGAGCAACCTCTGAAATGCCACTTCTGGAGGCTCTATGAGATAAAGTTCCATAGATGAAGAGTATTATTATCATTCCATTCTGGGATCATTCCAGAGCTCTGAGACTGAATGCCAGTGCCCAGTGGAAGTGTTCAATCTATACAGGTCTCCCTGGCCTAGGGACTCAGGGTCTCCCACTGCAGGTGGCTTATCCAATAGTAGTTTTCCAAGGGTGTGGGGGAAGGTGGGAGGGTAGAAATCTATCTCTTAGTGGGAATATTTTATTGTCTAAGGGCAAGGAGTTTTTGCTTCCTATTCTCATCATAACTCCTGTTTTGTGATCTCCAGAAGTCCCTGCTCTCTCTGTATCTCTTCTTTTCTTTTTCCACACTACAATGAAAAGGCCAGAAAAGAAGATCCTTAAGGGAATTTCTGCTAAGCTATGACCTTGCCAAACCTTGAGCTTAGAACAAGGACATTCTTCCTCACCACTGTACAGATAGGGATACTGAGGCTGGAGAAGGAATAAAATATGAATAGGTTCTGAAGGAAGGAAAGGGAAGTCTAGTGGTCTATGAAAGTTGTAGAGGTTGGGAAAGAGGAGAAACCTTTCCAGAAACCAAACCTGGATGCCCTGAGTACCAGATGGGACCCCTGCTAGCCCAGCCCCCCATATTTCCAGCCAGGAGGAAGGTCTATACAGACAGGCAGAACTGCAGTATCATCTAGCTGTCACCCTTTCCAGGGAAAGCAGCCCTTACCCCAACCCAACAGGTGAGGAAAGGGTGTGGTTCTCAGGATTTTAAGGTCCAATCCTACTAGGATTCCCTCTTACACAAACCCCACCCAGTCCAGCTCCACAGAGGAATAAAATGCTTTATTGATTAAACGATTATTCAGGCGATTGAACTAATCAAAGAGCCCATCGACCGCCATGAATTACATTCTTTGTAGACAGCTTGTTGGAAGAGGCAGCCCAGCTGGTGGGCCACAGAGACCCTCTCCCTGACCCTGGTGTACTTCCAACCCATTTTCAATGCATGCACGACCTCTAGTACCAGGAGCAGGCACCTCTAGGTGTCCCATCTAGAGAAGGCCTCACCACCTGGGGAGAAAGGCTGGGGAAGAGAAGGTTTCCAGTTTCCCTTTTCTGCACCCTCATCTCAGGAAGGCTCTTCTGGTTCCCCTGCCTCTTAGATTTTTGCCTTCACTTCTTTTCAGTTGCTGTTTCAGAAACACATCTATGCCCAAGAAGTTGTCCTGGGTTTGGGGTCTAAATTTACCCCTTTCTGTTCTTTGACATTTGGTTGGAGCTGGAGTAGAGGTAAGGGTTCGCAGATGCCCTAGGATGGGGGAGGGAGTTTCTTGCCAGGACTGAGAGTGTGTTTGTGTGGGATTTGGCATGATAGTCCCCACCTAAAAAAAAAA